CGGAGCAGCYTTCCCCAGCCCCTGCTGTGCTCACAGCAGGGCTCTGCTTCAAACACCTTCCTGCCCACCAGCCACACTTTTAGCTGCCTGTGGGCTGTGCTGCTCCTGAGCACTACGGCTCAATCACAGGTAAAATGATGTTTGTCCAAAAAAAGGAATATGCTTTGGTTGYATTYAGCCCYACTCAAGCTAACTTTCCTATAAAGGGAAAAGCCAGATTTGAAGRCAGCTTTCAACCATTGTTTCCTTTTGCAGATTGGTGCAGAAACCATGAAATGTGCCCATGACCATCAGCAGAGGAGCCCAGGTCATATTTAATTTTTATTTATTAGAAYGTGCTGCCTCCCACCTTCCCTTTTCTTATCTGTCATACAGGGTACCCACCTCTGCTATAATCCAGAGCTCCCAAAAGCACCTAGGAACTCTGAGACAATCATAGCTTTGTCCTGGCCCTCACCACAACACACAAGAAGCATGCCAGAGAGAACATCCTCCCCGTTGGGCTCAGTGCCAGCTGGTGGCAGTGACGGACACCACCGCTTCCTCATGGCACTCCTTTGCCCTCATCCTTTGTTATCTGCTGGATTATGTTGCAGTCTGTAGCATGCAAAGATATACAACCACAGCACTCTTACAAGTTAAGTCTCAGGTAAAGTTACAGGCACCTGTCAGGGGCTTTTGTTACCTGTGGCTTTTCGATAACGTGCACTATTATCCCTTTCAGTTTTATGATAAACTGYAATTTTTCTTAAACATTTAACAATCATTATTCCCTTCCTACTCCTCCTATTTTTGTCTGTGTATCCATGCGACACTTTTGGAGCTGAGATCACACGCAAGAAAACACAGTGAAAATGGCAACTAACGTAGTTTTTSTGAGAGAAGAATGTTTTGCATGTTGCTTCCTGTTAAGCCATTGGAAATGGCATACCCAAAGAAGAAATTGTCCTTTTGGTGCAAAACCTTAACTCAGAAGAAAAAAGCCATGTACCATAGGAAAGAAAAAAGAGAGGCATATTTAGACCAGTTCTTACCCCAGCATTTTCAATGTATGGGTGGATGTACTGCACTAAGCTAAGGATTTGTCTGTCCTAAGGCTGCCAATGGAGCCCTAGAAGAGGCCAGACATATTTGCTTTGTATTTTCCAGCTTCCAGCAACCAGGGAATTAATCAGACAGAGGTGAAACCGTGTCTATATTGCCAGGACAAGCTGAGTGAGATAAGAATTAGGTATGTCTGAAAATGAATCATCAATATTCACAAAAACTTGAGAAGTGTACTGCTCTGACTGTCTTGTGATTGTGAGTGAAGGCTCTGTTTTAGGGAGGTACTTCCTGCGAGAGATAAATTTTTCCCTTGATTCCTCGAGACCTTCAAGTGACCCCACTAAATTGTTAAAATTCCATTAGAAAGTGACTGCTGGGAACATGTGCAATAAATGGCTGCTGAGATCAATGACAGTCTTGCTGATTTAAAATCAATGTATTGCTTGCTGACGGTGCTGGCAGTGTTTTCCTCTGGGAAATGTAAGAGTGATTTGCTTTAAATAAACAGAGTGATAAAAAACTTTATTTGAACTCATTAGTGACTCAGACTGATTTTAGAGTAATCCAGAAAATGCCTGTTGCCCAAAGACAAGATTTGGAAGTGAGCAGTGACTTTGACTGCTGCCATTTAGGGTGGGCCACTGGAAAGCCTTCTGAGCAGAACTTCAGAAAATACTCTCTGCAAATTGGATACTTAGGGTACCTAGACTATCCCCTGAAATACACTGGTCCCTTTTGAAAACATGACATGAAAGCATCAGGATACTATGGCTCTAATGTTCACCATGCACCTTTTCCAGGCCAATTTCTTGTTTCCCTCTGAGCTTCTGGCTGGCCTTCATTCCAAGYGATACCATGAATTCATGATGGAAATAAGCTCACCAAAACTTAAAGTGCCACCACAAGGTGGTCTYATCCACCAGCCACCAGCACATAGCTTTGGGCTGAGTTGGGATCCTCTCCCTCTTTCTCCTTAAAGCTTCTTCCCCACCATGAGTAGTTTTTTTTTCTGTCAGAAGCTCAGCTAGATTGCTTCAATGAAAATAGACATGAAAGCATTTGCCCTACCTACATTCTGTTTTGTAACCTAACCATTTAATTGCATCATGCTTTTCCTTATAAATCATCTGATGATGATTCCCAGGACAAGCCTTCCCTTCTTTTCCTGCATGTTTTAATACTTAAGCTATTACTGCCTCCTGCTTGTAGATATCACTAAATCACGAGGGGATTGGTCACTAGATAAATCAGAGCTCTTTTTGGTGTGCTTCTATCCTGGGAAATGGGGCACCTGAGTGAGAAACAGAAACTGTAGCCACATCAGAACCCTGCAATCCACGCCCAAAGACTGTCCAGAAGGGACAGGCAAGAACAGAGGGCAGGGGGTTTGCCCTACATATGAATAAACAGATTGAACTCACAGAACTGTCTTTGAAAACCAGTGATCGAGAGGTTGAGAGCTTAAAAGTAAAATCTAGGAGCAAGCCAGCAAAGGAAATCTGATGTCTGGTCTTCCTGCAGGGCACCTGAGCAAGGGAAGCTGTTGATGAAGTTTTCTTGCTTCAACTACAGGAAACGCTGTGCTCCCATGATCTGATCCTGCTGGGGCACTCCTTGATATCTCTTGGAAAAGTGGCACAGTAAGCTGTAAGCAATCCAGGAGACTCCTGGAGGGTGTTGAGGATGTTTCTTAATCCAGGTGACAAACAGCTTGACCAGAGGAGAAGAATTACCAATCCTGTTGCTTATCAAAATGGAGAAGCTAATTAGAGATAGCAAAACTGGTGAAAGCTTGGACTGCAGTGATCGTGCCCTGGCGGAATTCACAGTCTTGAACACCTCTCCTGTGAAGAAAGGCTGAGAGAGTTGGTTTTCTTTAGCCTGGAGAATGAAGGCTCCAGGGAGACCTTATTGCTGACCTTTAGTTTATAAGAAATATGGGGAAAGACCTTTTACTGAGACAGAGGGCAGTGGTTTAAAACTAAAARAGAGTGGTCTTAAATTGAATATACAAAAGATTTTTTTCTTTTTTTTTGTATGATTAGGGTAGTTATGAACAGGTTGTCCAGAGAAGTTGTGGATGCCCCGTGACTGGAAGTGTTTGAAGTCAAGAAAGACAGAGCTTTGAGCAACCTCAAATAGTGGAAGGTTCCTTGCCTATGGCAGGGGCTTTGGACTAGGTGACCTTTGAAGGTCCCTCTTAACCCAAATAATCCTATGGTTCTATGAGAAACTATTAATATTTTAGATTTTGTGATTCACCTCCATGTTGTAGAATAGATTTTTTTAATGGAGAATTTTTCCTTCCCTGGTTTTTTTTTTTTTTTTTTTTTTTTTTTTTTTTTTTTTTGTTTTTTTTTTTTTTTTTTTTTTTTTTTTTTTTTTACATTATTATAATGTGCTTGTTACGATGGCGACTAGGATATAAAGAGGTCACAAAGCAAAATCCCATAATGGACCTGTACTCTGGATCCTCCTTAGCCATACACACGGTCATCCCTAGAAATACTAACTTTTCCATAAACATGGACACACAYACACAAAGAGCATGTATTAAGCCCAAACAGCAAAGTGGTTTTATGCCTGAGAAGAAAACTTTCAAATACAAAGCCTATAAATAGATGATATGTTGCCTTTCTGGTTCACTAAATASCCTGGAAAAGTGCAGTGAAAAAGAGAGATGAATTTGCAGTGTCCCCCCTTTATTTCACTGAGACATTAATTCTGCTGTCTAAATTTAATACTTTATTGTCATTATGGGAATTGCCATCACAAGGGAAGCAAAGGCACTTTCTGCATTTCTTCAGGGATCAGGAAATAAACCTATACAGAAAGAAAACAGCCCAGTATCTCCTCATGTGCAGAAGGAAGCACCAGGTTACTTGACATGAAAAATATTGGGAACTTGTGCAGTGCYCAACACACAAACCACGAATAGGCCTAGACAGAGATGGATATGACAGAAAACCACACTGGAYGCATCCTGCAGCAGCTGACATGGAYRCTGCTGCCCCAGGATCTGGGATGCTGTGCTCAGAGCAGCCAGCAAGAAAATGGCTCAGGAGCATCTCACAGAGAGGAATTCAAATAAAATCTTTCCACTTTTGCATTGATAGTAAATCTGAAAGTGCAAAACAAAGCGTGTGGCTCCATGACCCACTGGCAGAGCCCATTTCCATCAGAGGGAGAGAAGATGCAGCCCCTCATTCCTGGGGCACCTGAATGTGAGAAACATTTTGCAGCCTTTCCAGCCATTGCTGGAGGTGAGACAAACCTCACTGCATAACAAACTTCWCTTTCTGTCTTTTTTCCCCCACTGCACACCACAAACATGGCCCAGCAGAAGTATTTTCAAGTGCAAACATGCACAGAAGTACTTAATATATTGCTATACCCAACCCCCACAAATTTATGCTCATATAATTACTGTTCTCTGTTTGCCTACTGATAGCAAGTTAAAAATACCACACACACCCCAAATTAGAACTGGTTTCTATTTTTGGTTAAATTCCTGCAGCTGATACAGAAGAAAATGTTGTGATGAGCCACATGAGATCCCTCTTGCCTGCACTAGTCAGGACAGAGGACTGCAACACCACCAACAGCAAAAACCCACCAAAAGCATGGCATGCACAGATCAAGACTAATTTGACAGTGTTATGATGGCATCAAACCTGTATCCCCTTTCCTTTCTTCATCTGATGCTCAGTGTTCCTACAGTGGGAATGGATTTGAGGATCTATTCTATCAAAGTCTGCATTTAAACAGAATGTAAAATCTTTCTGTAGTATCCAGATTCTGAGTTTATGTTACAAGGTTCTCCTAACTTAGACTAAAGGTAAAGTATTTCTGTTATTTAGATACAATGTAAAATGATATGCAAACCATTTCTGTTCTATACAAATTCCTAATTTATATTCCAAGGTGCCTCTCAGTTACAAAGAACTACTTACCATTGATGTACCACTCATTTTKGTAGTAGAAATATGGACATCATCCATGAGTAATCTTGCAAGTCACATGAAGTTAATCTAATATTAAATAAACAACAAGAAATTTTCAGCTTATATTCAGGCTGTAAAATTTTTGTCATGCGAGTCATCCCTTTATTACATACAAGCACCATATTTGCCATTTAAGCTTCTGAGTCTCTATCTTTAAAAGCTTTGTGGAAGGAACTGTCTGGAAATCCCATAAGGTCAGCCCCTTCCCAAGCAAAACTAATGAGAGCAGGTTTCCCAGTGTCTGAGGCAGGGAAGTCTGGACATGCAGTTTCCCCTTCACTTCTGATGGGCTTCTCTGAGAAAATAACATTGCACAAAAAGCCACCCTAAGCTGTTAATGTGTTTTGAATGTTTGCGAGAAACACCTCGTACATGAGGCCAAGCAAAGCTTCAGCTGCCAGCCACTGGAGACAGAAACTGCATTAGAAAAAAGAACTAATCTAAAGYTGCATTCTTCCTAACACCACCTCATATTTTTTGAGACAGTAKCAAATGCAAACAGGTCCCTGCCCACTGCACAGGCCTGGATCATCACAGAGAGGCTGGGATAAGCAGATGAAYGGTTTGGCTAAGGACTAAGAAGCAGATTTATTTTTATTTTATTAGATATTGAAAAGACAAGACACCATCAAGGTCCAAGAAGGATTWCCAAAAGCAATTAGGAGCCCAAGTTCTGTGAGTCCATTGGTTCTTCTGAAAATCCTGTCTAGTAGCAAATGAACTGCATCACTGAGYCTCAAAATACCTCTATGCTCTTGTGCTGCTTCCTCTAGGGACCTTGATTTCAGAAGGGCAAAGTCTTTATTATGAAAAGATTAGAAATTTATTCCCCTTCTTCAGTTCATCTAGCTTCCCTCAAAATAGGAAAGCTTATCCTTTTCTTGCTTAATGAAATTGTTCCCACCCYATGAACCATTTAAACTGAAATTGTAAGATGAAAACTCAATCCCCTGGCCATTGCCACACAGATCTTTGCTTTACAGAGAACAATGTGCTTCCATTTGTTTGAGGTTTACCTGCCACAGATTTCACTGCAATGCCCTCTCTGATSTGATAGCACAGATTTGCAGGGTTTTTCTTTCTGGCAGAAATCCCTCTGGATTGGTAAGTGACACAAAGGTTGGAGTGTCCATCCTGGAGCCATCAGATGGTTCAAACACTGYCCTCTCTATTTACACATCTCTACTGACAGGAATTGTGCTGCCCATGTCGGATCTTGCTGTTCATACACATTGCGTCCTCAGAAACGTGATACCAATGTATTGCAAAAGACTTCAAAAGAATTGCACTGATTTTTTTTTTTTTACTTTATAGAAGAAAGTGTTCCTTCAATGTGATAAATACTGAACATGACTTTTGCTCAGGCTGCAAATAGCAAATTACTTAATCATCTGCTATTGAAGTACCTGTTTGTTTTGTCATGAAGTGAAACTTGTGAGCAAGATCGTATTACATGTAAAGTGGCTTCCTGCATCCTTAAATATTAATCCTCAAGTAAAAACAAATTGAAAGAAGTTCCAGGGTCACTTTAGTAAGTGTGAGCTGATGCATCCCACTCTCTCATATCCCACATTAAATGTTCCTTGCGTTTGTGCCAACACCAACATTTTTGCAGCCTCGGAATGACCTTGGCAGAAGGATGGTGATGGGATGTAAGCTGCGAGGGACCCAGTCCTGGGAGAGCACAGGGGCCGTTACCARCCACTGGCAGCAGTTCTGGAAAATACAGCCAACCCCGCAAGGGAGAGGGTTTGCTAAGGACCCGTGGGTCTTAAGATGGATATGACRGGAAGTGTTAAGGGGGCAATTGTGAAACGAGAGAAGCCCCTGAAAAGGAAAATATCGGGAAACATGGCACGGTGGAGAGTCAAAGGTGGAGCAGGAAGAGTGGAAGGGCACGGGGGACTGTGCGAAAAATAGGGATGTGAAAGGAAGTGCAGGAGCAGGAGCGGCAGGCGGAAAGCCACAGGAARGGTAGGGAAAAGCCGGGGCTGGGGTGTGCGGGCATAGGCAGGCGATGCGGTGTGCGGTGCGGGAGCCGAGACGGGCGGGCCTGGCAGAGACAGCGAGGGGTAAGGGATGCGMTGCCTCTCGCCCAGCGCCCCCGGCACCGGCGGCAGCGAAGGACGCGGTTCCCGCCCCGGGTGCTCAGCCCGGGGCCCGGGGTGCGGGCGCTGGACCGGCCCTGCTGTCCCTCGGCCTCCGGGGAGCCCGCCTTGCTGAAGGGACCGCTGCTGCCCTGGGGCAGCGCTGGCGCGGAGCAGCCCCGGCGCTCCCGGGACTCGGCACAGCCCCGCGGCCGCCCCGCTGCGGCCACCCCCGGGGAGGGGACGCGGCACGGCCCGGCCGCTCCGGCTGCGAAGGGCGCTCGGCCAGAAGGCGGAGACGCCGCTGACGCCGCCGGGACCGGGGCCGAGCGAGGCGGGCACCCCGCCGACAGCGGGCCCGGGGCCGCCCGCTCCGTTCCGTTCCGCTCCGCTCCGCTCCGATCCGCCCGCCCGGGGCGGGCCCGGGGCCGCCCCCTCCCCTCCCCTCCCTCTCCCCGCAGCGCATTCGCCGCGGGGGCCCCTCTCCAGTGACGTCAGCGCTGCCTAAAAAAGCGCCCCGGCAGGCAGGCAGGGCAGCGGCTTGGGCAGCGGCCACAGCGGCGACAGGGACAGCGGCCACAGCAGCAGCCCGCGCCCCGCCGCCGCCGACATGGTGTCCCCCGTCACCGTGGTGAGTGCGGGCCGCGCGGCGGGCGGGGCGGCGGGACCCGCGCCCCCTCCCACGGCCACTCGGTCGGTGTCCCCGCTCCCGGCCGGTGCCCTCCCACCCGCTCCCCGGGCGCTGTCCCCGAGCGCTGTCCCCGGGCGCTGTCCCCGAGCACGGCGGGCGCTCCGTTCCTCCCGCCTGCCGTCGCCGGGAGCGCGACCGCTGGCGGTCCCCTTCCGTCCCCCGCGATGCTCACCCCGGCCTCCCCCGGCAGCTGTTGCTCCAGCGGTGCGCCTGCCCRGGCGGCTCTCCGCCGCGTCCTCCTCTTGTCATGTGTGTTTTTAAAAAACATCTCCAGTGCATCTGCTCTACGTGCACTGCATCTGTTCAGAGCGGCGCTGCCCCAGCTGCCCTGGGCTTGCGCCGCGGCAGCGCCCGGCAGCATCCTCTTGTCCCCGCGGCCTCCCGTGCCCTCGCAGGCACCTCTGCCTCGCCATCCGGAGGTGGCTTTGCTGTCCAGGTCGTGGCTTCGGCTGAAGCGTGTGTTGACTCCCGTGTGGGGCAGACCTTTCCATAGGTTGGGTGACTTCCCGCTGAGACCTCGTCTCGTGTGCAAGACAGTCTGGCACTTCCACCACCTGACGACACGCAGTTGGGATCGGTGTCACCTGCCTGTCTCGTGGGGAGTCACGATGCTTAATTAACGTAACCAGCAATAAGGCAGCAGCTCACTGCTGTCCTGACAGTAGGTGATGGGTGCAGCAGGACTCTTGGATTGATGGAACCAAGCTGGTAACTGAAGTAGCTGTGTCTTGTGCCAGCAATACCAGGAACTGCCCCTGCAGGTGAATATAGAGGCCGTTTCAGTGCTGAAAGAACTGCCAGAACAGCAGAGAAGCTGCACTGTTAGATATGTTGCTTTGCGTGTTCCTCTTTCTAGAAAGTGAGGAATTTGTTGGAATACCCCAGCAGACTTAACACATGCAGGAAGAATAACTGTTGGTGGGAAAGTTTTCTGAACACCTACTGCTGATATCCTGGTTCCCTGTTGATCCATTCTCATCTTGTTTTGAAATATTTTGGTTAAGGGCCAGCCTATTGCATACTCTGTGGCAGGTAGAAATCTTGTCTTGATCTTAACTCACAATGCCGGCATTCAAAACTTTTATATTGCTTTGCCAGTTCTGCACAGCAGCCTGTATTGTCTGATAGTTCAGATGAATTTTCCCCCAGTTATCAACATGTACCTGGTAAGTTCATCAACAGCCTGGGGATGACTTTTATCTCTAGAGACAGAGGGAAGTAGCTTGGAAATTACAACATTGTAGTGCCAATTTTTTTTTGTGCTTTTCCAAAACAGCTAAAAAGGTTTGGTATCTTTGTGCTTCTCTGTCTTAAGTTAAATGTGTCTTTCAGTAATGCTTTTGGTTATAAAGAATTGTGTATGTGTATCTTGGAAGTAAAATCTTGTGTTGGGACAGTACTGGAATAGCTCAAAAACTGACAGGGTTTGTTTCACGGCTTGCAGGAGGCAGTACTTGGCTGTTGTGATMGTGCATCAGGGTGGTCTTTTAGAGTGTTATTTCAACTGAGCTTTGAGGCAAATGACTAAAGCACAAGTACGTGTTGGGAAGGGTGTTCAGAGTTCAGACCGGAAGGCTTTAGGAAGGTAACTTGGGAAAGAAAATGAGAAAACCCCCCTTTTTTTTCTCGCTTGGCCTTTTGACATGTAACAAAGCACATTTCTGTTCTGGCTGCATCCCTGACACGTGAACAGTTCACTTCACCGAAGGCAACTAATGCAGGTATGAAACTATGGGGAGCTGGAGGGCGAGGAGACCGGGAGCTGTGACCAGAGCTGCAGCTGTGCCACTGCTGTGCAGGTGAGAGGGGAGGGCAACTGACCCTCCATGCAGCTCACAGAAAAAGAGCTGAAAGCCTTCAGTGTTCTGTTTTGCACATCTCTGTCAGTGTTTGTCACATCCTTGTTCCTCTGAAGGAGGACACCGTGCTGCTCCACGCTGGCTGTCCCGCAGCCCGGGAAGGGTGGCTGGGATCAGTGTTGTATGGCAGCCTGTGCTTCCCCTGAGTGTGGTGTGACCCTGGCACAGCTGGGGTGACGGGCAGGGTGGCTCTACAGCAAGTCTCCTGCTGAAGGGAAGAGCAGTGGCCACCAGTCTGGCCACAGCTGGGTGCTCGCCTTGGGGCCCAGCCCTTATCTCTGTACTGCACTGCCTTTGCTACATAGATAGACTGGGTCTTTGGAGCCAGCATGGATATCACTGCCATGACACATGATGGGGAAACTCTGGAGGGGCAGCACCTGAGGCATAATCAAATTAGGCAGAGGCATTGATTTGTCTCTACTACATGTCCTCTCCCAGGACACTTCAGCATCAGCCTCAATGGGGAGAGCACCAGACGAGCACATCTGAGAGTGACAGGAGTTTTCTTCCCATTCTCAAAGCGATGGCCTTTGTACAGTACTGCAGCAGGTGGCCCTGGCTGCTCACACACAGCCTGCTCTCCTGTGTCTCCCCCTCTTTCCTTCCTTAGGACACTCCTGTGTCAAAACCCCTGAGTTCCAAGTGTGCTGTACAAGTGATAGCTGGAAGGAACCACACAAGGAGGCACAGTCTGTGGGGGAGATGCCAGCTAGGACTGCTTGTTTGTGCCAGCTGCCAGGTGTGCATCACTGCCTGGAGGGCTTGGAATGTCCACCTGGCACACACGGAGAGAGCACAGCATTGTGCACAACTCGTCAGGCTGTGGTTTCTGATGCTGCGCAATTCATATGTGCTGAGCGGGGAGCGTGCCCACAAATAAACAAGCCCGGTGCCAAGATACCTTTGAAATAACATATTGTGCCAGGTCCTCAGTTGGGATAAAGCTCTGGAGTCCTGCTGATGTTGGAGTCTAGACTTGTGTGGCACTGGGCTGTGGCAGGAAGATGCATTTGTCTGCCWTCCTGTTCCATCTGGTGAGCAATGCTCATTCTGGTTGGAAGTCACCTTGGAGGGAAGCTTTCACTGCTTACTCTGCTAGACTTAAAAATTATTGTTCTTGATACTGCTCTGATTAAGAGCTGTTTTTTTCTGCATAAAGCCATGTGGACTGAGAGCCTGCAGTTGGAGCACAGTATTGATAAATGGCACGTTTGCTTCGTGGATATGTGAGGTTTAATTCCATTTTTGTTCGGTCACCACTGGTCCCACCTTAATAAAWGAGCACTCGTTAGTGATTTTTGWCCAGTTCCCCCCCTACCCAACACTRTCTAAGCAGTTTTTTTGAGCTTGTGAGAGATAGCTCTTGCCCTRAGGATCTTTCTGCCCAGCAGGCACCGTGATTGCAGGAGCCACAAGTGTGAGATGAGCCTGGAGACATGCAGTCATTCTGACATTTACATAATGCTCCTTGCTCAAAGGGACCCTGTTTTGTCCCTGTAGTTAGGGCTAAACTTAGTGTAGGGCTTCACATCACTTTGAGGAAAAGAGGGCATGGGAAATAGAGATATTAATCGGCTGTGGGTAGGTGTCCTTTTGGGGGCAGTTTTAAATGATATTGGTGTGTCTTTTAGAGCAAAATGAACTAGGGGGCTCTCATCCCTACAACATTCCCTCTGSAYCTGACTTGTACTAGACCTAGCACARTCCTRTGTGTGGGAGAGAGGTGAAATGCTGCTTGGGACAGATTATTGCCCAGAATCCRTATCTTAACAATCCCCATCCCTTCCTTTTTGTCCTCTGGTGCATTTGCATCTTTAAACACAGATAGCTGGTTTGGGAAAGGATGTGTTGTTTTGAGTGCACGAAGGAAGTGGAGCCCTTGGCCCCATCCCTTATGGGTGGGAAGCTGCAGCACCCTCCTGAAAGCAACCCTTGTCTGCGCTCGGGGTACGTGCAAGACATCAGTGGGACAGAGTATAAAGGTCACTTGCAAAACCTGGGCAAAGTACCTGAAAGGTATGGTCTGGAAAGATATTCAGCAGTAAGAAATATGGAATAGGGCTAGAGAACTGTGTGGGTATCATTTATGTTTCTGAACAGGGGCTGAACTACACTGATCCAGGTGGGTATGGAAACCTGATGTAAATCATGTTGCTTAGAGACTCTGCATTATGGGCAATTGTAGCAGTAGTAGGTCTAAGCATAGTTTTAAAGGTTTATTATTAGAAAGTATGCTCCATAATCCTCAAACTTCTGCTGAAAACAAGAAAGCCAGATCACATTGGAGCTATTTCAGCCTTTGCTTCTTAAAGAGAGGATGTATTGTTTCTGCATTAATGAATGAAATGTTAGCAACCATCTAAGTTAGAAGTAGCTCTCACGGTAGAGAGTTAATTTTAATTGTTCTCTATTTATATGCTAYGTTGTTGCTTTCTTTGCAATTTTCCCCATTACTTAAATGCATCATAAACTGGGATTTTATTATGCAGGAAGCTTGTAGATGTGCACATTTATATACTGCAGAGACAATTATGGAAATATGGCACTCACTACTGTAAAAACCAAGCCAATGTAAATGAATGATAAAAAATATTTCAAAACATCTGGGCTCACTGAAGAARGGGAGGGAATCATCACCTTAGGAAAGCTTAGCTAGATCTCAGTAACATTTATGTCAGTCCCACCTTTTGGGAGAAGCCAAAAAACTTTGGTCCTACTGAGCAAAAAGCTGTTCTGATTTATGCCAGCTAAAGCCCAGGCCTAGCGCTGCATGCCATGAGTTATTTTTTCAGACCGAACTTGCGCATTCTTGCTATGACATTGACATTCTTTGCTGTAGCTGTTGCTAGGGGAGGGTGGGCTATCGRAGCCTGCAAAGTGCGGGCTTCTCTCGCGCTCTTCCCAGTGCCAGGGAGGGAGTGTGAAGCAGGCAGTGCTGATCACTGCTGCAGGCAGTGCTGTGGATTAAAGGCTTCATTAACCCAAGTRTATCGCTCAAGGCACACGCGGTTGTTGTTCAAAGTGTGCTTTGTGCATTACAATTTGTGGGTCCAGTTCAGAAGTCTGTACTTACACATAATTCCTCTGAAAGGACAGAGATGCATTTCTTCTGYTCTCTTTTCCTGTCCAAGTATCTCTATCCAAAATACACTGCGTGCGACAGAAGAGCCAAAGTTATCTTCTCTGTGGGTAACWTCATAGTGCTGAGGAAATAATAACTCCAGTGAAATTAGACTCTAAGAAAAAGATGGCATCAGGAACCCATCTTCTGCTAGCATGTGGAAACTCTTGAACAGCAAAAAGATTATTAGTTACATAACTCCCTTCCCTCCTGGAGGCCTAAGTGGTTATTATATCACCACTTAATTTTTCTACTGTCCTTCATGTCACACAATGCCCAGTAGATCTGTCATTACAATAGACATGTAGGTTTTGCTTGCTGCAACATGTGCAAAATGAGAGTGATGGTTATTGCTGCTTCTAGCCTGCTTGTGCCCTTCCTATATCCATTTYTTGTATTGCCATAATCTAAATAGCATTTCAGCTACTGACAGGTTTCTGTGTGACAAGTGTCTCAGTCTAGAGCAATCCRCCATGTAATGCTGAATGTGAACAAATATCCAGGTGAAATGGCACAGAAAGGTGTGTCTAGGAGTTTACACACCAGAGCTGAAAGGCAGTAGATGGGCTGGGAAAGAACTTTCCTGAAGATTTGAAATGTGCTGGGGTGGAAAGGATTTCAGACACCAACAGAGCCCAGGGGCTTACACTGCAGACTCTGACTCAAGAGTTGCACAGATACAGTTTCACTCTGGATAAATGCAACTTGGGTTTCTTCATGGGTTAAGTTAATGTTGCAAGGCTGACTCTTGTATTTTAAATCAACTTGTCAGTGAGGATGGTGGGTCTTTTGATTCACCTTGCTGTATCCTGTGGAAATGCCTCGTTTCTACCAACAGGTTTGTCTTCTCCCAAAAACTAATTCCTGTGGATTGTTGCAACACATGTTCTTGCCAAAATTGAGGGAAGATGAGACAACCTGTGTTACCAAATTAGCCTTGAGACTTTTGTCAAGTTTGAGTGCATGGTAAAGTTTCATGTTTTGCTTCTCGCCAGGGATTAGCTTTGGAGGCAGGTATGGCACCAGCTGGCATCAGGCATTAAATTTCCTGCTATGTATCAAAATGAGTGCATTTCTGCTGGTTGCAAGTAGCCTCTGATTGAATCATTGCTTGAAACKGAGGGAAGTTTAATATTAAGCCAGCTGCTCATTTTTCAGCACTCTCTAGGTACACCAGACCCTC